ACTTGTAGTGTAGGGTCAACGGTTGGACTCAGTGATCCCAAGGGTCTTCCCCAACCCGAATTGTTCTATGATTCTGAGGGAATGCCTCCTTGTACGAGGCCACACCGAGTCCTGTGTTGTCTTGGGCCCCTTACGATAAGAATAACACAGAGGTGCTCCACCAGAGTAACGTGGAGGTGTTGGAGCACGTCCAGAGAGCAACAAAGCTTGTGAAGGGGCTGGAGAACACGGGCGCTGAGGGACAGCTGAGGGAGCCGGGGCTGCTGAGCCTGGGGAGGCCGAGGGCAGAGCTCGCTCCGCAGCCCCCGGGCAGGAGCCGGCAGCCAGGGAGGTCGGTTTCTTCTCCCAGGTAACAAGCGGGGAACTGGGCTCGGGGCGCGCTGGGGGAGGCTTAGGTTGGATATTAAGAAGAATTTCTTTCCTGAAGGGGTTCTCAGGCACTGGCAGGGGTTGCCCAGGGCAGGGGTGGAGTCCCCATCCCTGGAGCTATTTCAGAGTCAGGCAGACACAGCACTTAGGGATAGGGCTTAGGCAAGGGCTTGTCAGTTTTAGGCTAATGGCTGGACTCGATCTTTAAAAGGTGTTCTCCAATCCACGCGAGTCGGACCTTACCTCACCTCCGGCCTCCTCCCTGTTCAACGGCGCAGACCCTCGCCCCCCGGCAGGCCCCGAGGGAGCAGCTCGCGCACAGCAAAGCTCCGCAGCAGCGTGGAGGGATTCGTTTTTATTTCAAAAGACAGTAAGACAATTTTTTTTCAAATTTAGTATCAAAACACTTGATAGGGTTTTTTCCTTTTTCTCCAGATTGGCCCTAAACTGCTCCAAACCAAGCAGCATGCTCAAACCACAAGCTACACGCCGCGAGCTTGACATCTCCACACTCACGCCTCACAACAACTACACATCAGCAATGCACAGCAAGATGGCTTGTACCTTATTAAGACACTAAGAGCACTCCTGGCCGGGAGGGAAGGCCTCGGTTCCTTCCCTCAGGGTAGGCAAAAAAAACTTCTCCGAGAAAACAAGGCTGTTGTACTTAAAGCTGTTAAGTGTCAGCCAGCGATGAGCGACAAAGCATGGTGCGTCAGCACTTAGTGAAGGCAAATTCAGCCCCTGTGTAGCAACGGTTAGAGGGGCCGTGGCTTCTCTAAGCCTACCAGGAGAGGAAAAATGGCCAACGGTATGGGGGGGAAGGGAAACAACCCCTGTGAAGGTTCACTTGTTCAGATTACAGGCTTGGCTTTAAAAAAAACAAAGTCTCCTTTCACCAGAGTTGCTTCTCCACAGCACAGAGTTACCTTAAAGGTGAGAAACTGAACTGCTCTTTTGGCAACCAGCTCCTGGAAAGGAAGGTTTCCCACTAGCCCAGCTACTCTGGAACCATCACGCCCTCTTTCCTCCCCTGCCAAAGCAGAGTTGGCCCAGAGCTGATTAACAGAAGGTTAACACCAAATTTTAAAGCCAAGAGCTTTGATGTGTAGCTCACCAACCTCACGAGTTACTTGGAATGTTTACAATGGTTGCTTGCTACAAAAAAAGGTAGTTACAAAATGTGTACATCTCAAACATGCTCCCCAAACATTATTGCATTGTTTCTTTCCCTTCATAATAATGGTGGTTGAAGCTCTGCCCAACCTGATGGCCTTTAACCCTGAGGCAAAGGAGAAGATTTGTGTTTGGTCAAGTTGGCAACAGCAAGTAAACTCTGGTCCCCAAGGGTTAGAGGTCAGCAGCGGCTGGGCTGGCCCCCCCGGCATCGCGTGGTGGAGGCAGTGGCAGGGATCCGTTACATATCGTTCAGGTCAAGCAGGGTCTGGTCCAGCATTCTTTGCGTGCAGAGATGTTCCTCTTTGGTGGATTTCAGTTTATCTGGCGGGAAGCAAGAGTCAAGAGTTAAACAAGGCAGCTTTCAGGCAACCGAGAAACCTTGGCCAAAGAAAGCTCGCGCTAGCCCCTTCCCAGCACGCTGCCGCAGCGAGTCCTCAGACCGGGGGTGCCTGGCTGGGTGCAGCTGGAAGCTCTGGAGTTACCTGGCTCGTTTGGAGCCCTTGCCTCTCGCATTGCCGGGGCTCCCGGTCGGCACGGTCACGCTGGTACTTTTAGCCAGTGCTCTAGGCAGTGGTTTGCATGCGGGTGCCTCCGATTGTAGCTAGCCTTCCCCCAGGGCTCCAACACTTCCAGAGAGCAGCCCCCCCGTGGCCCAGCAAGGCACCCAAAGAGCAACGCGGAGGTAAAACACACACGGAGAAATCGCCCCTCCCCGGGATTACAGCTGGTTGTGCTCCCCATCCCCACCCCAGCACAGGACAGAGGTGCCAAGCTGGTCACTGAGACCGTAACTACCCAGCAGCACGGAGCAGACAACCACGCCTCAAGGCCAGCGGGGAAGAGGCTGTTTTCGGTGAAGGGCAGGCAGGGAGCAAAGTAGGAGCGAGGGTGCTGCAACTGTGCCCGAGACTACAGGCAGCTGCACAGTCGATTCTCACATGTTCCTTAAGCCAGGAGGAGAGCTCAGACCAGCAACTAGCGCTCTAGGTAGGCTTTAGTCCAAAGGTGAGCCCACCCATATCACTGATGAGATCCACGCGCTGGGGCACTGGACAGACAGGCTGTAGAAAGATGTCCTTTAGGCACAGGCAGTTCCTCAAAGCTGCTTCCCCAACCTCCCCAGGGCCAGAAACCGTGCACAGAGCGAGAAGCAGCCTTCCTAGAGCACCAGCGACCGCAGCCGTTAAAGATTCCCTGCAGGCGCTCAAGACACAGCTTCAGGCTGTGGAGTTGGGGACTTGCTTTCGAGACGCCCCCGAGCTTTCCCAACCCGTTCTGGGGCTCTGCAGCCGCACTGGGAGGTCAGACCCCAGGAGTAACCGTGTCCCCCAAACCTTGTAAGTTAGGACTCGACTATATAGGAAAGTATTACAGGTGTGCAGTGTCTTACAGACGACAAGGTCAGTCATTTATTGTTGGAAACCATCATTCCATGCAGCAGGAAATCCTACAGTCGTTCAGCTAACAGTAAATTAAGTTTTAGCGGATGTAAGCCTAACTTCACCCCACCGCTCTCTTAGGGGGTGCAGCCATTCTGGTTCCATTGAGGAGCCAGGCAGGGACCCCTTGGATAAGTGAACTGCTCAAAAAACAGCCAAGTCTGAGGGTAACTTCACCAAGAGCAGTGGTTACCTTTATAAAAAAAAAAGAACAAAAACCCAACCCAAGCACAACTCTTAAATAAATTAGAGCGTAAATTCAAGTGCCCCATAGAACAGCAGTAACTGCATAAAATTTGCAAGTCTGCCAGTCTTAAGAATGATCAGATTTCACTGTGGTCCACAGCACTGGTGGTCGCAATAAGCTCGTTTAATGGTATTAGTGGGCCCCATTCTCAGTCACACAGATCATGCAGCGTTAACTTCAGCTCGTTAGAGAGCAGCCGGTTTTTCTCAAGCTGGCTGTACAGGCGCTCTGCAGCAGCAACAGGATTAGGGGAAACAAGAGGAAGAGAGAAAAAAAAAAAAGAGAGAAAGGGAAGGTTAGTAGAGTACCAAGACGAGCACATCAAATAAGCTCGGTAACGCGTGACTCTGAGGATCGAGTCTCGAGTATTACACAGAGGAAGCCAGGGAGAGCAAAGGTTTGTCTTAACTCCAACTTGCATTTCAGCTCAGGAAGATCGCAGAGGAAACGAAGCGCAGACAGAAACAGAAGTGCTGCCACGGGCTCTCAAAGGCAAAGAAAGGAAGAGGAGAACACCGGAAGAGGAGCCCGCGGTACCTGGCTGCACCCAGGTAAGGAGACACACTCGGGATGCGCTTTAAGCCCGCAGAACCCTCTGCAGAGAGAAGTAGTCCCACCACAGCTAAACCAGCAGCACCTTGCAGAGGAGCCAGTGGGACTGATGGTTTTCGCAGTAGGACAGGGACACCAGAAGAACCGAGAATGACAGCATCTCACACCTGTCGGGGAGGACACTCCTCCAGGGACATGCCTGTGTCACCCTAACAACCCACCGTGGCTAGCCAAGGGCTGAAGGCAGGATCTGCCTCAGGAACAAGACAGAGGAAGTTCTGGAGCACGGGCTCCTATTTGACACCCGCCACGGAACAAAC